CACTTTTATGCATTCGAATTATTAAGCAAGATTTGCGATTCTTCGTGATAGCTTTTGATGGTTTGACATTTTGACAGCTTTGGTCTTGTTCATCCAATCAAATTAGGTTGCCCATTCTAACAAGGATTCTGATTGGCTTATTGTAAGCGTGCTCTGTCAGAGTATAGAGCATGCTGACGACACTGTTGTTCGCTTTGAAAATAAAGTTTGTTTGGAAATTGCAAGTAATGTGTGGGGAATTTAACGGATTCTTTATTATAAAACAAATAGAGAAGCCTTGACTGTGCTCTGTTCTGTAGTAAAGCACTTAGGAAGCGGCCAGAGCACTCAAGAAGTGGGGAGAAACACTCGACTACGTCTCGTATTTCTCCCTACACTTCTTCCGTGTTCTAGCCGCTTCCTGCGTGCTTTACTACAGAACAGAGCACAGTCAAGACTTCTCTATTTGTTAAGTAATGCATATGTACACTACAGTTTTGGTACATTGTTGTGCTCAGGGCCCCCATTGATATATAACAGACAGCTTTTTGCATCTGAAAGGGCTTCCTTGAGCGGTATAAATCAATAAAGGTTCTTCTTATTCTTCAGTCAACATTTTTAAATATGATCCGGCATTTCTTTTGATTATGATTGGCAGATTGTAAAGATCACCCGGTCTATGCAGCAAGATGCCCTGAAGTGACCAGTAAACCATTTCACTGCCAAGACGAACTAGAACTGATGAAAGAAAGATGCCCAAAATCCTGCGGTTTTTGCTGAGGTGACTTATGATTGAAATATTCCACAAAATTTACTTCTTCTGGTGTTCAAAAAATTGTCAAAATATAGCTACTCATGTAAAGTACTTGTTTTTTTTCTTATTCTCTGGCAGGTAATGGTTTCATAGAGGAGCAGCCATGGAAAAAAGCAGCAGCATGTAGTTATAACGTAAAGAATCTTATAAAAACATGTTATGTAGGGTAAATGATTCAAGGGGTCAGCTATTGCAGCTATAACTTCAAATTTCGTTTGAATTGTAAAAGCGTTATATCATTAGGCTACGGGTAAATACTACTCTAGGCACTAAATGGAATGGGTGTTTTAATTAATCTGTGACAATTAATTTAGAGCGAGTGAAAAACAAATAAAATAATATGGTTTGATAAGTCGAGTTGGTAA